TCTTTTGCAAATGTTATTAGTAGGTAGGGGATTTATACAAGCAAGACTATAAGGTTATTCGTGATGGAGATTGAGCAATGCAATTGCTGTCTGATCACTTTTTATTCAGTTCTTCCCTGTGTTTATTTTGACCATGGTTCAAGTTTTTTGTTTTGCATGAATTTGTCTTTTAGCATGGGAATGACAGCCAAGGTTTCCTCGACAGTCCAATTTTGAACTGAATTATTGCCTACGTGGTATACTGATCTGACAAGCTCACAAATCAAGTACTCACTGTTTAGACAGTACCATAAATGCAGTGATTTTTTTTCTCCTGGGATTCTGATGTAAATGTAACTTTTGTTCTGGTCTGAGATTTTTTTTTCTTGTGGTCTTCAACTTTGCATCATTGCCTTTGTTTTTCCAAGGAAAATTATCACCATTGATCATGTGTCATATTTTTGTGTTGAGTTCCTTAACACAGAATTTCCACACTCATGCTGGATTGGTAAATAGCTAAGATTCAATTTTCCTGAAAATCTCAAACAAGTTTACTTAATAGGCAAAGTGATAATTTGGACTTGCAGAACAAGACATTGCAATGTGGTAGAAACAGAGAATGTTTAAGATGATTCCAATAGGGATGGCTTGATGATATCAAGTTCTTGGCTGTTGTTGCAGGGGTCTCACTTGTCAAAGCAACAGAGAGTATTGTATCATAATCTTGACTTGTGTATTGTTGATGCACTTGGAGGACACAAGAGGTGAGTTAGTCACTGCTCTTGTAACCAGAGTACTACTATACCTGTTCTATTCAGGTTTCTTTTCTGTACTAAAAGCCAAGATGTTAATTGATTAATTGATGGTAATTGAATTTATTGTCAAAGTGTGATAGTTAGATCTCTCTTTTTGGAAATGGACACTCTCAGCAATTTTGCGGTGCAAGTGTTCCTTGCCATTCATCAGTTTAAGCCTAACGTTGTCCAGGCAGGTCTTGCTGCACATGGACATGGTCCATTTCAGTACCTGAGAAGCTACATTTAGTCCTGCAATCGTCAGCTAACATCTCAATTTCTGACCTTACATTGGGTGGCAGATCATTGTTAAAGCCGATGAAGGTGATTGAGCCTACGCAATACCTTGAGGAATTTGGAGCAGCTTTATCCTGGAACTGAGTTGATTGATATCTAAAAACCACTGTCATCTTCCTTCGTGTTGGTTATGACTCCAATTAATGGAGAACTATCCACTAATTCCAATTTTGCCAGGATTTCTGATGACACACTTGATTTGGTCAGAAATCAGGTGACAAAGGAGCAGTGCTCTGAAAGTTTGTGATTTCACATAAACCTGTTGGACTATAACATGGTGTCATGTGACTTATGACTTTGTACACCCAGTCCAACACTGGCATCTCCACATCACACTTGGTTATATACTGCTTTGATGTCAAGAGCAATCACTTTCCTCTCAGCTGTAAAGTTTTGTCCTTTTGTCCATATTTGGACCAAGGTTGGGATGGTCTCAGGACCTGATGGCCTTGTCCAGAACTCAAACTGAATATCAGTGAGCAGGTATTACTGTGCAAGTGCACTTGATACACTGTCATTAACAACTTTCATTATTTTGCTGGTGACAGACATAGAGAGTGCAGTAATTTGTCAAATTGCATTTGTTATGCCTTTTGTGGATAATGCGCAGTTGGGCAATTTTCCACCTTGTCAGATAGATGCCAGTGTTGTGGCTGTAACAAAACAGACTGTAAGTAATAGACTGTGGGTGTGACTATGCTGGGGATGCTCCTTGAACCTAAAACCTTTGCAGTATCTTGAGAGGTAAGTGCATTTAAAATAAGGGGGGATTTGCTAACAAACATGCATTGAATAAAGTAAACAAACTCAAAGTTGATTAAATTTCTTGGTTTCAGGGGAAGTTGGTTGGCTTGATCAATGGTGGCAAGAACTGCAATCAATTACAGAGGATGTCGATAAACTTGCAAAATGGACATATTAACCCCAAGCCCCTATCCCCACAACCTTCCCATTCTTGTGGGCCTCACCTGTCCTTCCAACATGAAACCCCAACACTTATCTGGTCCTGGTCTTCAGGGTTTGAAATCTGGGGACTGTTTGTAGCCCTGCTGCTGCCATTATTAGCCATGGCACTAGTGGAACTACAGAGACTCCAGCATCTAATGACTAGGCTGGCATGACTAACTCTTGCTTTGACTTGTAGATTAAGCATCTAATTCACTTTGTAATTTTGTTTCAATATTGCTTAGCAACAAGGATTTATATTGCATTAACACTGAAAATGTCACAAAGTGCATCATAGAGGCATAGTTATACAAAAGCACAGCAAGTTGGTGAAGAAGCTATTGGCTGGAGTGACAAGAAGCTTGATAAAATAAATGGGTTTGAAGGAGAGTCATAAAAAAGAAGAGGTGGTCAGTGGCGTGTTGGTGGGAAAGATGTGATAAGGTTTAGAAATGGCATTTCTGAGGGTCAGATCTGCTCGTTGAAGCCATAACAAGTTGAGAAGGGAAGGGAGAGCAATATGGAAAATGAAGAAGGTCAGATAGGGAGGAATGAAGATCCCAAGGGAAATTGTAGGATGAGGAAGTTATGAAGATAACAAGATATAAGGCCATGAAATGCTTTAAATACAAGAGTGAGAATTTAAATTGAATATGCTAAAGGGCTAGACACAAACAAAATTCCAGAAAAAGGGAAATAACAGGTGAGTAGGACTTTTGTCGGACAGTTTACAGGCATCAAAGATTTGGAAGTGCTGAGATTTATGGAATATCTAGTAGGATGGAATAGATGAGTGTTGAGGCGACATACGAAGAAGGAGGGGGACTAGGCTAATCAGCCATTTAATAAGGTCATGGTTGATTTGATTGTAACCTAAAATCCACATTCCTGCCTACGTCTGATAACCTTTCACCCTTTTTTTAATCAAGAATCCTTCCATCTCTGCCTTAACAATCTTGAAAGACTCTGCCTCCACCGGCTTGTCAGAAAAGACTCCCAAAGACACCTGACCCCCATGAGAAAAAGCTTTGCATCATCTCTGTTTTAAATGGGTGGCATTTTTTAAACAATAAACCTTGAAATAACCCCACAGAGGCTGGTATTCTATCACCAAGTCATTCTTTCATTACACACGGAAGTTCTTAATTTCAGTACTGCCTCATTCAGAGTCAGGTACCAGAGCGACAATATCTCAGACACTCACCCTCTTTTATATGTCAGCCAGGGGTGCCTCATTGGACCAGATTAATAACCCCAATCAGTGAACTCATAACCTATGAGGTCCAGTGGACTGTCCTTACAATCACTAAAAGCCCTAGATCTAGATACTCCCAGAACAGGAAACATCCTCTCCATATCTATCCTGTTAAGACCCCTCAGGATCTTGCACATTTCTGTCAAGTCAATTCACATTCTCTAAAATCTTATAGATACAAGTCAAATCTGTCCAATATTTCTTCACAAGACAACCCACTCATTGCAGGTATTAATCTGATAAGCCTTCTCTGAACTGCCTCCAATACATCCTTAAACATTCGTCCTTAAAAAAATCTTGACCAATAGTGTGCATTGTACCTTAGATGTGGTTGCACCAGTACCCTGCATAATTGATGCATAACCTCCCTACTTTTGTAATAAATTCACTTCACAATAAATTATAACAATCTTTCCCAATATTAGCTTTTCTAATTACTTGCTGTAACAACATATTAACGTTTTTGTGAATCATGCACTATGACATCCATATAACTTTGCATCTCAGAGCTCTGTAATCTCACACCATTTAGATAATATTCTTCCTTTATTATTTTTCCTGCTAAAATGGACAATTTCATATTTTTCCATATTATATGCTGTTTGCCAAACATGTGCCCATTCATTCACTCATGGCTCACTGGATAATGCACAGTTATGTATAAATTATCACAAGTGCCTTTAATCTAGCTCCTTATTAAAGCAATCAAATGCTGAAATAATTGTGGTAAGTTTATTGTATGTAACAACCAAAATAAGGCCCCATCAAGTAAGCAAGTTAAGCCTCACCACCCAACTTTGCTGTTACCCGATTAATGGTGGAATTTAGCTGCAATTCCAACCAGTAGTGTCTGTCTTTGAATGTGTGCAGTGTTCTATCCTTGTTGCAGTATTTTTTTCTGAAGTTCTGCTACTGAAGAATTTTGGAGTTGTACTCTTTTGCGATATTCTTCCTTTCAAATTTGTGGTGTAACATTATTGACAATCCTTTAGATTCATTCATCTACCTTATTGAATATTCTTCTGGAAAAATCAAGTCTGCAGCTTGTCTTCTTATGAGAAGTAGCTTCCTTGTTCTTTGTTATATTGACATTGAATGTCTGTTTCAAGACATAACTTACCCACAGTTAACTGCTTAAATTCTTCTTCAGGGCAATTATTTGTCCTTGTGGCATAAGGTAGCCACTTATCAAGCAGTTGTTAAAACAGATTCATTTATGTAGCTTTGACTCCTTCTTGATCCCAGGCATGGCTCGTTGCTTTCACTTCCTCCATAATAGTTTGTATTTATCCCTTAACAATTTATTCCAGTCATAAGGGGACTAAAACAGTTGCTCTCTTCAAATCGAATGAGGCAATCCACAAGTCAATGGAGATTTGGAAAATTAAGACTAATGAATACATCAACCATCTCATTCGTCACTTTTTTTAAGATCCTAGGATGAAGTTCATAAGGACCAAAGGATTTGTCAGTCCACAGCTCTAACAGTTTACTCAGTACCATTTCTATGGTATTGTGATTTTCCTGAGTTCCTCCCTTCTTTCCATTTCCTGTGTTACATCATCAGATTGTGTGAATCTTCGACAACTTCAACAAGAACTCTTTCATAGCTATTATCATATACAATTGTGCTGAGCCAGAGTTGGATGTCACTAGTATACGCTCAGAAGCTAATCCTTTAGTTTTGAATTATGTCACCAAAATGCAGCATGTAGGTGAGGCAGAAGAAGGGTCCAACGATTGATCCTTGTGGAAAATAAAGGAAATGGTGCAAGAGCATGCAGAGGAACTGTAACTAGATGTTAGGTAAGTAAACAAAAATGACAGATAAATTAAGCTAGACAGAAGGCTGCCTGAAAAAGGATGGTATGATTGACTGGGACAAAGTCATTAGAGCAATATCATTCATACATCCTCTGTATAAATCAAGCCCACAGATACAAACATTACCTAAATGCTCACCTTTCAGTATACATATTCACAAGGAATGTTTTCTTTCCAACCTTTCACTAACAATAAATAATCTAAATCCTGGTATGAGGTGTATGAAAGACTGGTTATCTTATTGCAATCAGAAACATTTCAAAATGTGCTGTGTAGGTGTTTGCTCTAACTGTTTGGCTGTATTAGACTTCATTAAGAAATTGAATGACCAATTGACTTGATTTTCTCAGTGTGCTCACAGGTGGTTAGGTCGCAGTTTTTTTATGCAGTGTTGAATACTTTTGTTTTTTTTATTTTTGGTAATTGTTGCAACATTTCTTTTCAATTACAGGAAGTTTCATACAAAGAGAAACATGGAGCAGTGAGTAATTCTGAATCTACTGGTCAGATATTTGATCAAATATGAAGGCAACACTCTCAAGAAATCTATTTGTTCAAAGCATTTTATCCTGCAAAGCAGAGAAAACTAATTAGTATTGCAAAGACCTTCTCTGAGAGAGAACTGGCTAGGGACAGAATGGATGGGATAGCTTTCGTAAATTCTGGAAATTTTTCCACTTCCTTTAACGCTTCAGAGAGAAATTTTACCTTTGGCCATTATGACCAGTGTTACTCTCCAACCTCCATGATATTTGTGCTCGCACTGGTTTACAGTGCCGTCATCATCCTTGGAGTATCAGGCAATCTGCTCCTAATCACCATTGTGATGAAACAAAAAGAAATGCACAATGTAACAAACATTTTGATTGTCAACCTATCAGTCTCTGATCTGCTCATCAGTGTCATGTGCCTGCCCTTCACATTTGTCTACACTTTTATGGACCATTGGATATTTGGTGAGGCCATGTGCAAGTTAAATTCCATGATCCAATGCATCTCCATCACAGTTTCCATCTTCTCCTTGGTGCTGATTGCAATTGAGCGCCACCAATTGATTATTAACCCTCGAGGTTGGAGACCCAATAACAAGCATGCCTACCTAAGCATTGCCATCATGTGGACACTAGCACTGCTTACATCTCTGCCCTTTCCACTTTTCCACATTCTGACCGATGACCAATTCCATTATGACCTTAAATACTCAAAAGAATTTGCTGGAAAGTATTTGTGCATTGACCTGTGGCCATCGGAAAATCAAAGGCTGGTTTATACTACATGTCTCCTCGTAATGCAGTACTTTGCCCCCCTCTGCTTTATATTCATCTGCTACTTTAAAGTAAGTGAAAGAAGCATTTAGATTTTATAATGATCTGGTTAGCTTGCATAAGATCAAAGTTTTTAAACCTGGATAATTGTATTTCTGGGCTTAGTTGATATATTTCAACAGAATGTAACTTGATGCTGTTTCAAAATAATGATTAAATTTGAAAAGAGCATCTTCAATTTTTGAAGAGAGCCGAAGGTAGTTAACATGTGTACTGTCAAAAAACAGTAAGCAGTCATGAAGTGTTGGCAGTACTAATCAAGAATTCTAAGTGATTGGCTGTTTTAATGGAAGAATACATTGTTTAACCATTATTAAAGTAATTATAGTGGACATGCAAATTTGACACATTTGTGTCTGGTAATTGCACTGTTTGCATACATGTCACAATTTCATGCTAATTTCCCTTCATTGACCTCTTATGATTTTGAAACACCATCGTCATAGTGAAAGTAAGAATTTTATAAGAGACATGTAAATAATGACAACTTTGTTGCTTTTAATTCCTATTCTGAGTTTGAATCTCAATTTTGGCTAATATTTGAGTGTCCTTTTTTTGAGTTTTTGAGTTATTTGTAAAAGTCCAAGAGTACTGTCATAAAGATTCCTTCCTTCACTTGCCAATTATGCCTCTGATTCTCTTATTGAAAATGCAAGAAGTTACATGCTTAGGATGTGTTTCTTACATGAAGGAACATTCCAGGTTTGACTGAATGGACTGAAAGGCCTATTTCTGTGTTCTGTTGATGCACTTTAATTTTGATTTGATTCAACAAATCAATCAGCATCAGGGGATAGAACAGACAAATTAATGTTTAGATGTACACTTTCTTAGAAATGTTAAACATATTTTGATCCAACAAATACTAACATTTTTGCTGAGTATTTCGAAATTTCCTGTTCTTGTTTAAACATTTCCAACAATCGATTTTTTTTATACTTTTCATAAAGTTCTTAATTGGCTGGTTGAGGAAGAAGGAGTGGCAAGGTGGCTCAGGGGTTAGCATTGCTGTCTAACAATGCCAGGGATCTGGGCTCAATTTCACCTTTGGGCATTGTTTATGTGGAGTGTGTACTTTCTCCCTGTCTTGTGTGGTTTCCCCTGGATGCTTGGTTTCCTCCTGCTGTCCACAGATGTGTAGGTTAGGTGCATTGGCCATGCTGTAGTGTCTAGGGATGTGCAGGCTAGGTGGACTAGCAATGGGAAATGCGGGGTTACAGGGATTGGGTAATGCAGTTGGTCTGCTTGGGTAGTTCTTTGTCGGGTCAGTGTGGACCTGACAGGCCGAATAGCCTGCTTCCAAGCTGTATGGATTCTATGTTCGAAGACTGAGATATTCATTGATCATCTCACCTTCCCATCTGAGCAATTGGTGGCATCATGTAAATTGATTGCAAGCAGTGAGGATGTGGATATTGGAAGGGATAAGAAAAATATAAGAAAATAAAGCTAATAATTGTAACTTCATTTTTCCAATTAAACTGCTTTAAATTCTGAAAAAAGCAACATAATGATCAAATTTTGTGTAATGCAAACTTTTTTCATACAGCTAAAGGGCTGACTTAGTTATTCATAGCACAAAATAACTATGCAGTAACTTATTCAGAAGTGTTCGAAATACTCACGTTCAGTATTATAAGATTTTCTGATATGTCATAACCACTAGACTAGCATATATTATGGAAAACCTTTCAGAATCAGATCAGAATCCTCATTCTTTGAGTCAGTCTTAAACATAAGCAAATTCCTGAAATTTTCCCCACATTTCTAATAAGTGTCTCTAATAATACACAATATATTCTTATACAGTTTCCAAGGAAAAAATTTAAGAGGGAATTGTGACTTTCATAAGGTCGTAAGAAGCAAGAATAAGTTGTTCAGCAAGCTTGTTCCTCAATTTGGTAAGATCACAGCTGATCAGCCAATGGCCCTATCTCCACTTTTCTGCTTGCCACAATTATCCTTGATTTCCTTGCCAATATGTTCAATGAGCCAGCTTCCACTGCTCTTATAACAAGGATTCCAGAGACATGATGAGACAAATTTCTTCCTCATTGCTGACTTAAATGCAAGACCACTGAATTTCAAACTGTGCTTCCTAGGTCTAGGTTCTCTAATGAGAGGAAACATCCTCCCAGCATCAATCATGTCCAGACCCCTCAAAATTTTACATGCTTCAATAAGATCACCTTTCATTCTTCTAAACTCCAATGAACAGAGGGCCAACTTGCTCAATATTCCCTCGTAAGGAAACACATTCATCTCAAATTCAGCCTAGTGAATCTTCTTTGAACCGCTTCCAATGCAAGTATATTTTTTACTTAGAATCCCTACAGTGTAGAAACAGGCCATTCAGCCCAACAAGTCCACATTGACTCTCCGAAGAGCACCCCACCCAGACTCACCCCCTACCCTATCCCCCTGTATTTCCCCTGGCTAACCCAGCTAACTTGCACATCCCTGAGCACTATGGGCAATTGAGCTTGGCCAATCCACCTAACCTGAACATCTTTGGATATGGGAGGAAACTGGAGCACCCAGAGGAAAACCACACAGAAATGGGGAGAATGTGCAAACTCTATACAGACAGTTGTCCGGTGCTGGAATCAAACCTGGGTCCTTGGCACTGAGCGGAAGTAGTGCTAACCATTGAGCCACTATGCTGCTCCTTACTTCTTCCTTCAGTAAGTATACATTACTATGGAGAAAATGTCATTACTGTGGAGAAAATGTGCTATACAATTATAGAACATGTGCCAACTTTTATACTCTATCCCCTTTTACTTGTTAACATTTTGTGATTCATATACAAAGACACCCAGATTCCTCTGTATAGTAGTATCTGAAGACTCTGTTCATTCAAATAATATTCTCCATTTCAAATTTTCCTGCAAAAATGGACAGGTTCACATTTTCCCACAATAGACTCCATCTGCCAAAATGTTGCCTGCTCATTTAACCAACTTGTCAGAGTTTGTCAACCTGAAAATGATCCATTTTTCCTGACTCTTAGTTTCTTGTCAGTCAGCCAATCCTCTATTCATTCTAATATATCAGTCCCAATACCATGAGCTCTTATTTCTATCAAAGCTTATCAGGAAGCCTTGATTGGGAACCTTGAATGTCTTTTGGAGATCCAATAGACTGCATCTAATTGTTCCACTTCATTCACCAGCATGTGCTATCCCCCAAAAAAATTAATAAACTTATCAACACAATTTTCCTTTCTCAAAACCATATTGATTTTGGTTGATCGCATTCTGATTTTCTAAGTGTCCTGCTAAAAACAAAGCTGGTGTGATGCCAGGTATGTAAGCCATACATCACAAAGATTGATGAATTATTTCAAACAGCACATCTTTTAGCCGTTCACACAAGCAAGGTACTGACCATACTCAACGATCCCACACTTGCAAAGCATGCAATGTAATGTCTAACTTCAGATGTAAGTCTGCAATTGGACTACATTTGCTGGGTAATTCTGAAGATGCAAGTAATTATGCTGACAACCAATTTAGGAATTGTCAGTTTGGCTCACAGCATGATGCATTCATGTGTAATGGAAGCTACTTACATTAATACACAGGGCCCTGTTCTTTACAGACGGAAAGAACATATGCACACATTATGCAAAATGGACTTACAGCCATTCACTGGTTTATCTCTCAGGGCAATGCCCTACCCAATTAATTTGCCTGGTTTAAAATTTAATCAAAGCCTTACTGTTAACTGTCAATCAGTATTTTTGGGTGCATGCTTCATGATAATGCCTCTACTAATCAGAATCCACTTGCTAACCAATTAGTGTTCTCCTCTAATGCAATAAAACATTGGTTTTGTCCTTGAATTGATATTCTTGCAAATTGTCTAAATGGGTGCAAGGTGAAAGGCTTGACAAAATGTATTGCTTTTCAGCAATAATAACAGATTCTAGCATTTTCCCAGTGATAGATACTAGACTAGCTTAAAGTATCTTGCTTCCTGTCTCCCTACTAACTTGAGTAGTAGCATCACCTTTGCATTTTGCATTGTGGGAAGATAACAATTAAAGCAGTATTACTGCAGCCAATCTCCTGCCCTGGATTCAGGGCACCAGGCTCAGTCGTCTTTCAACCTTTAGCTCCATTAGCATTCTCAGTATTTCCAGTTGTAAGTGCTTCCTGCTCATTTCCCCCTGCTTTCTGCTCTTCTTTGAATGCTTTATGCATTGTCACATGTAAAGACAGATGCAAAAATGTCTGCGATTTCCGGGTCACCAGTTTCACCCTCCAAGAGAGCATCACTTATTATTGCAACCCTTTTTATATACTTGTAGAAATATCAATTGTTTCTTTGTATTTCATGCCAGTTTTCTCTCACATTCAATATTCCCCTTTTTCATTTCCTCAAAAATAGCGATAAAATGTTGGATTGCAGCATTGTATTAGATCTACAGAGAACACTTGGTCAGTTTTCACCTGTTGGAAATTATACCAGCCTGGAAATTGTTGAATAACGTGTTTCACATATGTTGTCATCTTATTTATTTCTCTATTCTTTTAACATTTGTTAATTTATTTAAAATAAACAAGTTAATATTTCTTGTAAAACAGCAGAGACTGGAATACCATACAAACCAAGTGTCTATCATGAAAAATAAATATTCACAGTAATTCCAGGCTTTTTCCATAGAGCAGCCATTGCACACAGTAAATGATAAACCTTTCTTATTTGTACCCCAAGCATGGATCTCCACACACTGGGACTTTCGAGTCAGGAAACAAATCAGATGTTGCCTAAATTACTGGTTTCTATGTCATGCAACATACAAGCTTCTGGATCAGGAGCATGAAATGATGTGAATTCTACCCTTCATTTCCTATCCCTGTAGGAAATTTTCAGGGTATTAAAGATCTCTAGTTAAAAGTGCAAACCATATACTGTAAATAACAGTAAAAATGATTTAGCTACTCAATCATTGATATTCAATTCATAACATATTTTAAGTTGAAAGCCACCTTTTTACATGTTA